TTTGGAATCTTTTTCGTTCATGGAGTTTTTCCATTTGAATGCGTCTACTCGAATTTCACTTTTTTGGACCCGGTGGGGCCCGATCGGGGAACTTTTTGAGTTTTTTTTCTATAAATAGGAGGTCTTAGAAAGAAAAATCATATTTTTCTCTCTCTCTCCTCTCTCATGGCCGGTCCAAGCTCCTCCCATAACTGCCACCTCTCTCCTCTTTTGGACTTCTTCCCTTCATTAAAAAGTGGTAATGCCTTTATGTTTATTGTTCCCCGCGGCGAGGCCTTCTATTCCAACCGATTAGAATCTCGTTTTGGCCATTTCTTGAGTTCGGGTTTGAAGTCAAGTTGTGTTTTTAATGGGGTTTCCTTGGGATTCATGCTCGTGGTGTTGTCCCCGACAAAACTTAGGAGTTTCGTCGGATTCGGGGCTGATTTATTTTGGTGGGGATTTGAGATTTCATCTCAAATGGAGGTAGGGAATGTTTTAGGCTTTTGTGTGTGTTGTATTGAGTGTTTAGCATCATTATACAACTTATATATGTGCCTTGTATCAAATCTAGAAAGTTAGTAATTTTTAATTCTTTGTATAAGATTTAAAATTCATGATGATATATAACTTTGATTTGAATTGTGGCATAGTAGAAAATCTTGTTTTAATATGTTGGTTAACATATATTAAATTTGGATTAATTAAATAAGAATTGCTCCTTTTAATTAATATTTATCTTTTGTGAAAGATTAAGGTTCATGGCCGTACCTTACATGAAATTGAGTTGTATTATGCTTCTAAATTAAGTTTTGGCATGTTTGTTAACATACTTTAATTTCAGAACATTTGGTTGAGTTTGAAAATTTAGAGACTTTAATTAAGAGAATTAATTAAAATCTAATTTTGTGGTTTCATGGGCCTAATTAAGCTTTTGTGTAAATATATGTAATGACCATGATATGTCTACTAGCATATATTAAATTGGGGACAATGGGAAATGGTTTGAAATCTAGAGAGTTTAATTATTTTGATGTAATTAGCTTCTATCTATTTTATCCATGGATTTAATCATGTTTTAGAAGGTTCTTCTATTTTAAGATCATGGATTTAGACTTGTGAAGTATTCACTTGATTGTGTTATATGCATTGAAGGGCATTGTTGTTAAATTTATATTCATGAGAGTATGTTTCTAATATGAATATATTGTTGGCTTGTGATTTCGTAGCATTATGGATATGAAATACTTATTATGCACAATTGAGAGTTATATTGCTAACTTGTTACTATGTAATAGTAATATGTATAAGTTATGAACTTATTTGGCTTATTTTGGAATCTTGGAACATTGTTGAGTTAAGATGGCTAGGGTTTGGCTCTAGTACGGGGACGAGAGTCCTCTAAGTCATTGAGATAGTGCGCACTTAGGGTGGTCTTCCCTGCGGGTTAGTGCCCGGAATAACTATTGAGGTCTTGGCAGAATTCGGAGCGTGATGTCCAAGTCTTCCACTGTTTGTTTTCGCATTCAATTCCAAGGTTACAATCATGTTTACCTTGTTGACTTGTGGTTTTGGCTATTGGCGATTTGATGTTGTTAAGTACATCCATACTAAATTGCTATATTTAGTTGATTTCACACTTTTAGATTTCTAGTTGATAACCTAGAGAATCTATGTCTTGATGTGTGGTATTAGCTATTCTAATTATGCTAAATTGTTATATTTAGTCGATGTTACATTTTAAACTTCAAGTTGATAACCTTGAGAATCTATATGTTATTGCTTTGTGTAAGCATGCGCCTATATTATTGTTTTGTGTAAGCATGCTCCTATGTTGTTGCTTTGTGTAAGCATGCTCCTATGTTGTTGCTTTGTGTAATAATGACCCTATGTTGCTAAAATTGCATGAATGAGATGATTGATGCTAGAAATGATCTTAGGTAGCTATGATGCTCCTTGAGTCTCACCTTTGACATAGACGTTTGGTGGAATGAACCACAATAATTAAATTATGCAAACTTGTAAAACGTAGGTCGATGCATGCTCATTTCCTATGAGTAGCTTTATGTTACTCACCCCTACGATACTGGGGCATATTTCAGGTAAAAGAATTAAAGTTGAGACTTCCATTATGCTTGGATGACTTATGGACTCGAAGACTTCTATTTTTGTGAAGGTTGGCTCGGAATGCCAATTGTAGTCTTAATTGTCAAATGTGTATATTTGATTCGAAACTTGTAATGTGTGCCTAAGCACACTTTTGATTCTCATTTTATGTATATGACATGAGGCCAATGGCCAAACTTCTTTTAGAATCACATTTATGTCATGGATTTTGATTTTTTCCTTTAATGAGATTATATGAAATTCATGCGTTTTAGTATGCGATTTTGCACCAGAGCGTGTATTGTGTATGAAATTCGTTATCTATAATTCATTTAACATGTATGAGGTGTGGCCAAGGACCAAACAGCATTTTGAAACCATCTCATGATTTTAAATTCTAAGTTTTCGTTTCAAACTTCATTTATGGCATTTTGGCCGTTGGGGGGGTCATATTTTGTATCGGCCATATTTTTGGGACATGAACCATTGTAGCACATCTTACTAGGTAATTTATGTTTGCGTGCATGGTTGTTTCCGGGCAAAGCTTCTTCTTTGGTGAAATGAGCCTCCTACGGACTCATTTTACACTTTTGTTGCATAATCTGACCTAAGGGTATTTTGGAAATTTTCTTTGGGAAATAAATTCCGTTCTTCACATAGTTGAATAGAAAATGTGATTTTAGGGGGGTTTTTTTCTTCGTTTTTTTTCCGGGAAATGTCGTCTTGGCATCGGAAATCGATCCCGAAGTTCAGCTCTCAGTTTTTAAATTTAGCAGCTTTTTGGACCCTCTGGACCAGTTTTCTTGGTAGGGCATTTTGGACATTTCACGGTGCGTATTTTTCGATTTTCCTTTTGATTCACGTAGAAACTTGATTTTGAGGAGGGTTTCTTCTTTGTGTTTTTTCAGAAAATGTCATCTAGGCTCTCAAATTTCCATTTTTTCCGGGAAAACCCCTGCTGCCAGGTTTTTGGGTCGCACCCTTACTGCCCCTTCACATCTAAACGTTTAGATGGGGTCTCATAACCAGTTACATGAGTGTGGGCAGCGTTTTTGTCACTGTTTTTGGCCTTCTAACCGGTTAAATGTTCTTGGGTTGGTACTTTTTGACCGTTTTGCCCCTTCTTCTTCCGTTAGCCATATCTTCTTCATCCGGACTCCAAATCAAGTGATTCTTGAGTCTAAATTCATTAATTTTTCGTTGTCTTTCCAATGGTGTGCTCAGTGGCACCCACTTTTAAGCTAGAAATGATGTTTTTTCCCCTAGGTTCATTCTTGTTCATTTTTGAAACGTTGCTTCCGCATTTGTTTCCTTTGGGTTCCGTGACCTTGTTGAGGGTCACATTGGTGTCTTAGAGTCATGTTGTATCTTTAGAAACCGTTGTTTTGTCTTTTACTTCCACATTTTGGATCCATTATCGGGTCATCTTTTGGTTCATCACTGACGCACCAGGTTAAAAAACTTAGGCCGTCACAAGTGGTGTGCTCACAGGCTTGGAATTCTGCATGTTGAACCGCTCAAGCACTTTCTAAATATAACTCTTCTGTGACAAACTCAACCTGCCAGCTTAGTGATCCCTCTTAATTTCCATGCCCAAAATCTTCTTCGCTGCACTAAGATCTTTCATCTCAAATTCAGTATTCAATTGAGATTTTAACTTGTTGATTTCTGACATGTCTTTTGCAGTAATAAGCATATCGTCAACATATAACAACAAGTATACAAAAGAACCATCTGAGAGCTTCCGATAGTAAACACAACTATCATAGCTACTCCTCAAATAGCCATGTCCAACCATAAAAATGTCAAACCTCTTGTACCACTGCCTTAGTGATTGCTTTAATCCATACAAGGATTTCTTCAACAAACAAACGTGGTCTTCTTTTCCCTAAACAACGAACCCCTCTGGCTGATGCATATAAATTTCTTCTTCAAGCTTACCATGTAGAAAAGCTGTTTTAACTTCAAGTTACTCAAGCTCTAAGTTAATAAAGCAACCATGGCAAGCAACAAGCGGATAGAGGTGTGTTTCATAATTGGTGAGAATACTTCATTGAAATCCACACCTTCTCTTTGACTATAACCCTTTGCCACCAAACATGCTTTGTACCTTGCATCTTCAACACCTAGAGTTCTTTCCTTTTTCTTAAAGACCCATTTGCAACCAATAATCTTCTGGCTTTTAGGAGGTTTTACCAACTCCAATGTCTGATTCTTATGAAGAGATTCAATCTCCTCAGTCATAACAATAGTCCACTTGGTAGATTCATTTCCTATAACAGCTTCTTGGTAGGTGGAAGGTGGTGTATCTAATTTTACCACTCGCAATATAATGATTCCGTGTAGGATAGCTCTATGTAAAGAGGATGTTGAACCCACAGGGAGATGAGATTAGTATTTAGTTTTTACTTTAGTCCTAATGGTTTACAGGTAACTGGTAGAAAAGTTTGCTTGGTTGTCATGATTAAAAACAAACTAAAATTGAAACGAAGTATTAAACTAAATTAAATTAAGTGATCAAAGAAAGAAATCTTAGGACTTTGACTTCACCACAATCATCATACTATGGTTAATTATATCAACTCTGGGAATTTAACCGATTATGTTTTTAAAGGAATTGAACTCAATAACATTCGTTCAATTCGGGTTTTAAAGAAAGGTGATTTACAAAATTCAGTTAACTATAACCTATCTACGTTTAGCATGGATTATCCACCTACCTATTCTAACTACTTTGTAAACAATCCACCTTTCCTTAGCATAGATTATGAAAATATTCTTTTATAAAATAAAAATAAAAAAACATTAGAACACCATTATATGACCTCTATTCTCATGTCCGGCAGGGCTCCGCCAGATACCGTCCACTAAGATAGGTTGAGAATAGAAAATAAACAATTATATCTAAGACAAGGTAATAAGAATTTGTAATCTATTTAAAGCATGAAAACCAATTGAGTTGTCTCAATTACTCATAGTCATATAATCAAACATAAAATACATTAAAATAATCCCAGAGTTAAGAACAATCAAACCATAATACTAGATTGGATTACATCAGTGCCCTAAGAGAGAAATTAGCTACTCATGATGATGTCAGATATCATCTGTGTTGGAGTTGTCTCCATCGTCACAGACGACACTTCCCTTCTCAAGATCTTCACCTTCTAAGGTTGTGGAAACCCTAAATGCCACCACAGTATCAGCCTTCTGAATAACATGGCAAAAGGACTTAGAATTTTAGACCTCTTCTATCAAGGCTTAAGCCTTTTTTTATAGAAGAAAATAAGGATCTGGTGGGCTTTTAGGTCTTCTAGCCTATCTGGAATGAGATACGGCTTGAAAAGAGAACATTCCCGTAACTTAAATCTGACATGGCATGGAAGGCTTGAGCTTTAGGAACAAAGACTTGAGCTTTAAATTTCAGGCTCGAGCTTAAGGAATAAGGCTTAAGCTTTTCTGGATTGATGCTTGAGTTTCAAGAAAGGTGTTTGATATTCACTTTAACACTTAGCCAAATTTCTTCAATTACTTTCCAAAGCGTCTTTTTCTTCAACACTTAGAATATTCTTGGGATTGAAATCTTTTAACATTGCTTGATCAAAGCTTCATGGGCTCGAGCACTAGGTACCAGGCTCAAGCATTTGGTTCTCAAGGCTCAAGCTTCAATGGATGGTGCTCGATCCTTGGGGTTATGCACGAGGTCTAGGAGCTTGGAAATCAACTCTTCTTATTCTGACACCTTGTGCTCGAGCTTAATGGTCAAGGCTTAGGCACCCTATGGTCAGGCTCGAGCACCCTTTGTTCAGGCTCGAGCTTGAAGGTACAAGGCTTGAGCATTAATTCCTTATTGATTTTTCTTCTTTGGCTTATAAGGCTCGAGCCTCAAGACTTGGGCTCGAGCTTTGGATATTAAACTCCTCCAAACTTCACCATTAAAGCTCCTGGCTTACTCTGGATGACCGACAATGACTCTGTAAGCTTCGATATCATCATAAAGTCCTGGTTTTAACCATTTCTCTGGGAAAATACCTACAAACACACATCAAGCATAAATCAGTCTAATAATAGATAAAAGTATCATTTTAGGCTATAACATATGTCTATTTAGGGGCTCAAATATGCAAATATTCAGTGCTCATCACACCCCCAAACTTACAGATTGCTAGTCTTTTAGTAGTACAGAACTAAAAATCCACTATCGTGGGGATCACTGTTGCATTTAGCTTATGCAACAAGCCTTTAAAGTCCTAGGTTACCCCTAGTGGACAAGTTGTAGTCTCATGAGGGTTTCCTGTGAAGATACCCACAAACTTCTCGAATCAGTGCCTTAATTACACAGTAAGCTTATTCAAGTCTGTTTTCAAATCATATTATTCTTGCAATTCATTAATCAGTCAAATATAGGAAGTACAACCAATTATTTAATCAGGAAAACTTTCAACTTCTAATGTGAATTTAACAGCCATGGTCCCCATATATCAGTTTAATCATTCATTCAATAATCTTAATCTTCAAAACACTTTTGGAAAGTGATTGTACAATTCAATATGTGGCTTACTATCCGTACTTGCATTTATTTCTAACTATTCCTCAATTCACAGGCAAACTTTTCAAATTCCAACTCCTAAGGCATTTATTATTATTATTATTTTTTCAAGGTATGCATTTTTCCAAAAAGGATACTGTGCAATGTTCAGGTCTATTAAGCTTTCTAAATCACCCTTGTAATGAACTTTCAGCCAATGACTCCCAGACCAGATGATCTTAGGGCATTAAGTGATAAAGCACCCCTAAGGACTTAATTGTTCGAGTAATATAGGCAACCTAAACCCCTTATGTAACAAGCTTTCAGTCAATGACTCCCAGACCAGATGGTCTTAGGGCATTAGGTATCATAACACACCCCTAAGGACTTAATCACTCAAGCAATCTAGGTACAGAACCTGAACTTGATCCTCTTCCACTTCTTTTCTTTATTTTTCTTCTTTCTTTCACATTAGTGAAGAATTTTTTTTCTTTTAGTACATTGCATACATACCAATCTTTTCTATTTTTTTTTCAAATTTATTTTTTATTTTTTTTATATATATGCCTTGGTTATCAAAATCATCAAATCTATCTGTTCATCTCAGTTTAACTCAAAACAAAACAAGACTTCTAGTATTTACTCCACAGAATTCATGTAAGTGTGAATATGTGCAAAGTGTAGCATCTCCAAGATTAATCTTATTAAACAAGGATCATCCTAATAAAGTGGATCACAGGCCACCAACTGATTTCAAAATTTTTAAGAATCCATTTTTACAATATTTTAGCATACAAACCATATCTTACCAATATCAGATTACAAACGAAGTATATAACAATCAACAGACTCAAACTCATGCTATTAGCATCAAATATCATATCCTTGGTATGCAATTTTTAAATTTTCAGCCTCAAACTACCTTACCCCTAAACTTATTTTGCACATTGTCCTCAATGTGTGAGAACAAAAGAGAGATTAGAAAGATATTTCCAGAAACACAGACCAGCAAAGTTAGACAAAACTAAAACTCAGAAGGGTAAATTAGAACATCACCCCCAAACTTAATCTGTAACATCTGGCAAAATCAACCAACTCAAAACATATCAGAGTATCAAGCATATGTAGTAATAAGAGAGAAATATCACAAGTAACTCAAATATCAACATAAGGAAATAATAGGCAGAAAGTATGTATATATATCAGCAAAATGAGTACAATGCTTTTCAAAATAACAGACTTATGGCATATATACATTATAATGAAAGAAATACATCAAAAGACTGTCCTAGTCAACAAAAGAAACTATAGAAAAGCCCTAGTCAGCTAATCTATCTGAGGTGGAGGCAGATCAGTAGAGTTAGAAGGGGCAGACGGGGTGCGGCGTAAAAGCTCCTCCAGAATGCTCTGCTGTGCAGTCAGCATCTGTCTCAGCATCGTCTAGCTGTCCTGTAGCTGGGCCACCCTGGCCTATAAAGCTCTAATCTCAGCCTGAGAAGAACTCTCAGGCTAGGCTACAGGAACTGGACTCCTCCTCAGCGGGGCCTAGTTATCAGAGACATCCTTCTCGTCCTCTATAGCGTCATTATCTGCCTTCCTAATAGCAACTGCTACGTATCCCTCATCACTAAACTCTACTACATCACGACAATGTGCCGGCATATGCGCCCATACTTTATTCCATTCGTAGATACATAGAGAAAACCTTGAGAGACTCTTTAATAAACGGACATCCTTTGTGTAATAGAAAACGGAGTACTCAATTTCCTTATGTTTAAAGACTTTCAAAACCAAAGGCTCGAGCTTAAAGGATGTAAGCTCGAGCTTGCCGCCACAAATTATAGAGTTAACGATGATGAAAGGCTCGAGCATAAAGTACTAATGCTCAAGCCTTTAATAGCTAATGCTTGAGCCTCAAAGTTCAGGCTCGAGACAAATTTTTGGTTTTTTCTCAATTTTTCAATTTTTATTTTCTTTTTCTATTTTATCTAAACCTAGACTAACTTAAACCTAAAATGAATTTAAAATAAACCTAAAACCTAGAAAAGACAAAAAAAAATTAAATAATACAAAATATATAAATAAATAAAATAAAATAAAATAAAATAAAACTATGGTACAACATACAAATGCTAAGTTTAATGTCGATAGCTCGACGAAAACTTGACCTCTCTAGTCCAAGTAAATAGGATCATGAAGTTCTACTGACTCCACTGTGCCTCTCTACACACTACCCTCGATGTAGGGCTTCAGTCTTTGTCCATTGACCTTAGACAATTGTCCAATCTTACAATCTTATATCTCAATTGCACCGTAAGGTGTAACAAAAATAACCATATATGGACCTTCCCAATGTGACTTCAGTTTGCCAGGAAAAAGTTTCAGTCGTGTATTAAACAACCAAACTTTCTTCCCAGGCTTAAAAGTCTTACGTAAGATATGTTTATCATGAAATGCCTTAGTCTTTGATTTATAAACCTTAGCACTCTCATAAGTATCATTACGTAATACTTCGAGCTCTATTAGTTGGAGCTTCTTGTTAGATTCAGCAGAGTTCATATCAAAATAGAGTTTTTTTATGGCCCATAAAGCTCTGTGTTCTAATTCTACAGGAAGATGACACCCTTTACGATAAACGAGACGGTAAGGTGACATAGCAATCAGAGTCTTATAAGCTATTCAGTAAGCCCACAAAGCATCATTCAGTCTTAAAGACCAATCTTTACGATCTGGCTTAACCATTTTCTCAAGAATTCTCTTAATTTCACGATTGGATAATTCAACTTGGCCACTTGTTTGGGGATGAAAAGAAGTAATAACTTTATGAGTGATGGAGTATCTTTGTACCAAAGTACGAAAATACTTATTATAGAAATGAGCACCCCCATCACTAATCATAGCTCGTGGCATACCAAACTAACTAAAAATGTTCGTTTGAATGAACTTAATCACGACTGCGTGATCGGCAGTTTTAGTAGCCACTGCTTCAACCCATTTAGACACATAATCAACAGCCACAAGAATATATTCATTTTTTTTTATTAAACAAAATGACTCATGAAATCAATACCCTAAACATCAAAAACCTCAATAACTAAGATTAGAGTTAAGGGCATCATACCTTTTTTAGAAATTGATCCTAACTGCTGACATCGAAGGCATGACCTACAGAACAAATACGCATCCCGAAAGAGTGATGGCAAAAAAAAACCGCATTGACCTCCACAAGCTAAACTATGACAGAAGGTCAGAATACTATGAAATTCACTCTCAGGAACACATCTACGAATGTTTTGATTAACACAGTATTTGAAGAGCTGAGGATCTTCCCAATAGTACATCTTTATTTGAGAGAAAAATCGATCATTTTTCCTACTTTGACCAAGACAAAGGGATTCTGCCTATTGTGAGGTAGTTCACAATTTCAACAAACCAAGGCAAATCTGAATAAGAATCACAAACAGTTGTTCATCCGGAAAGGAATCATAAACTGGAAGTGAAGTTGAGGTATCCTCAATACGAATTCTAGAAAGATGGTCAGCTACCACATTTAATGACCCTTTGTTATCCTGGATCTCATAATTAAACTCTTGAAGTAAGAGGATCCATCGAATCAAACAGGGTTTGGTTTCCTTTTTGGAAAGAAAATGTCTCAAAGCAGAATGATCAGAATAGACCACTACTTTAAAACCCAACAGATAAGATCTGGATTTATCTAAAGCAAAGACAACTGCAAGTAACTCTTTTTCAGTAGTTGTATAATTCAATTGTGCTTGTGAAAGAGTTTTGCTCGCATAGTAGATAACATAAGGAAGCTTATCTACTTGTTGTCCTAAGAAAACACCCATAGCATAATCAGATGCATTTCTCATAATCTCGAATGGAAGAGCCTAATTTAGAGGATTCATGATGGGAGCTAAAGAAAGAAGCGAGCGAAGCTTGTGGAAAGCTTCTAAGCATGACTCATTAAAGACAAAAGGAACGTCCATTGCAAGTAAATGACACAAAGGACGAGAAATTTTGCTAAAATCTTTAATGAAGCATCGATAAAACCCGACATGCCCAAGAAATGATTGGACTCCCCATACGGAGGTAGGAGGAGGCTATTTGGAGATCAAATATACTATAACGACCCTAGATTTTTCAACCCAGTGTGTCCTATGATGAACCAAAAGATGACCTAATAACGGATCCGAAATGCAAAAGCAAAAGAAGCAAAATGGCTTCAAGAGACGTACGTCATCCCTAAGGCACCAAGATGACTCCCCATGAAGTCACAGAACTCAAATGAGCCAAGCAAATGAAGCAAGAATACCAAACCCAAAAAGAATGAACCAAAGGCAAAATGGTCATTTCACACAAAAATGGGTGCCACCGTGCACACCATTAGAAAGATTACGAAAAATGAACGTAGTTAGACTCAAGAATCACCTGATTCAGAGTCCGGATGGAAAAGTTATGAATTTAAAACAAAGTGGTCTTCTCCATTTAAGAATTACCATGAACCTATCTCACTAAAACTAGAATAACTCACACTATAGAAGGAGTTTAGATGAGTTGTTGGTACCATTGGAAAGAAAACTTCAAGCTCTTGAACTTAGACTCAAGAACGACCAGATTTGGATTAGTAATGAAAGAGATATGATTCCCCAAAGTTGGAATAACAAAGCTGTCCAAGGAAAAGATGAAGAAGATGGTCCCAGGGAGGATCGGTTGACTGAAATGCAACCATCGGCCGGTCGAAACTCAACCGTCGGTCTGCCGAAATGAGGTTTTTCCTAAAAAGCCTATTAAAATGGTCTCGAGAGTTTGGTCAGCCGGCTGATGGGTACTCATCAGCTGACCGACACATCTGCTGCAGTAGAAAAAGCTGTTACAATGTGTGTGTGAGGTGCTTGGGCCATCTCTAAAGCTCTACATGCATTCTACATTATCTAAACAAGCTTGAAAACATTCCCTAGCATCATGTAAGCGTCCAAAACATGTCAAAACAAAGAGGAACTTAAAATGATGTCCCAATGCATGAATTTTCATGAAAATTCATAAAATAGCCCAAAAATAGTTCCAAAGTTGAAACTTAAGAGTTTTGTGAAATGTGGATATGCACGCAAATGTAAAAAGACATTTAAGATGCGTCCTAATAGTCCGCGACTTCAAAATATCCCAAATGCAAAATAAGACCTCTTAACGGTCAAAAATGACTTAAAATACTATAAATTGAACCACAATACAAAACCTAGAGTGAAATGGTATTTGGCCCTTGGCCACACCTCATACATGATCATAGGAACCCTATGAAAGAAAAAGAATGGAATTCCCACACCCAATGCAAAAGTTATGAAGTAATGACTTAGCATTTTTCAATATTATCATAATAAACCTGGAAAACAAAAGTGCATAGAATACAAAATACATGTCATTGGCCTCCGGCCTCATCTTATACGTGTTAAATATACTGAAAAGAGTGTAGTTATGCACAATTTACATATACGGAATCAAAGAATATAAGTTTTGATACATAAGGCTATGAAATGATATTTCACACTAACATTTGCATGAAATGAAAACCTAAAAGCTACAAGTCATCCACGGAGCGATGATCATCACGAACCAAGTCTTCGTACCTGAACAAAACCCCAGTAACTTCAGGGTGAGTAAAATAGTTTACTCGTAGAGAATGAGCATGCATGACTCGATTTCTTATAGATTTTTACATTAACTTGAAACAATTCAAAAGGGTCATGCCACCTAACGTCTATGTCAGAGTGAGACTCAATGATCATCCTAAGCTACTCATGTGATTGAAACGAGATACACGACATATAAGCATACCGGTTATAAATGTACTAAATGAAGATGAAAAAATGCGAGGTAAGTATACAAAACATAGGTATACTAATGAGATTGGAAACACATAAGGCAAGTATACAAGACACGAGTATGCTAAATGGAATCTAGATACAAGAAGCAAGCGCGCAGTTTCAAGTATCCTGAATGAGGTTTAAATACACGAAGTAAGCATAATGTCCATGCAATTAAACAAGGTAGGAAATACTCCATATAACACGACAAGGTCCTTATATCTTCAAGAGATATCACTTGAAATCTAAGGGTTTAGAAATTTTGCATATTGATATAAATCATTACATGTGGACCATGCCACCTAGAATCTAAGTCAAGTTACATGTATATGATCATTCCGAAGTCACGATAGCATAAAGTAACATGGAACGAGATAACTAAGAAAATTAACAAGATTGAAACAATTCAATTAACACGACAAGGACAAGGCGTGAAATCAAAGAAAATGCATAATATCTGTTTAAATTCAAGGAATTATGTAAATGTGTGATTGGCTCTAGTTCAAAGGGAGCTAATAAATTGGATGATTACCATAAATGTCCTTGCAGACTCACCCTTGTCGATCAAAATTACCCATGGTTTACGAGAAATATGTGCGCTATACATGATAGATTCACACAGCTTCCAAAAATACGTAAAAGTTTATCAATGGTGGTGTGAACATAAAATCAATAGAAGTATTTATAAGTGATTAAATATGTACACACCCCTTCTACTTCCTTTAACCATGGTGAAATGTAATTAATATCAATCATGTGGACCAATAAAATCTCAATCAATGAAAATTCTATCCATCGAATTAAATGCCACAATACTACAGTACAGTCAAGGTTCAATAAATTTTTTCTTCAAGCTAGCAAATCCAGTGACCAACCGATAAAAATATTTTTATCTATTCAGGCCATTTGTTGATGATTTTTTAAAACTAATTTGCCACATTTTTTAAAACTTTTAAGAAGTTTATTGTGGATTTGATAACACCTAAATATGTCCCAACTCCACTAAAGAGAAACATTAGACACCCTTCCCTAATTATACCAAAAAGATTAAAAACTTAAATACCATATTGTTTCAGCAAGAAATCAGTAAACAATACCATATACCTCATCTATATCAAGGCCAAGCCCTTTTGAGACAACAATTATGGCCATGGTGGTGTCATGTGGAATTAAACAGACCCCCTTTAGGGATCAAAATGCAACCTTCATGCAGAAGCAGAAACTCTCCTGCATGGCCATAGTTTTGTCCAAACTATTGATTCAATTTTTTATTTTTGTTAGGAAAATAAAAATAAAAAAATAAAAAGAAAGAATGGATAAAAATCATTTGCATCTTTATATTCTATTATGGGCCACTTAGTTCAGTACATTATATGCAGCATCTGGATGTGTACTTGAATTGGTTTAGTAGAAAACTTAAATCTATCTTGCTTTCTATGTATGGACAGATATGTTTTTGGCAAAAATAATGATTTTTTTGGATGCTTATAGAAAGTATTATGTAGTGGTATCCCATTTCATGTCACCAACTTACCACATAAAGGATATAAGCTATAATCTCCAAATTTCAGATATTCCTATGATATTTTACACTGGAATGTTTAATCTTATCACACGGGTTTTAGAAAGAAAAAAATTATAACATATGATAAATCTATGACCCAAAAAATTTTGCACCGAAGTTCAAACTCTAACATTGTCAGACTTTAATCTTAAACTCACAAAGATTAATTTGATTGCATTGTCTAACTTAATTAGCTTATGTTGCAGTTAATTAAGAAATCTTGTGTTGACTCTTAATTAAACATAGGAAAAAGGGACACAATTCTAAAGGACTCAGTTCAAACTCTTAACATTGTCAGACACAATTTTTTATTTTTCTAGTTTGTTCTAACGGATATTTGTACTGATTTTGACAGCCTGGAGTGCTCCTTGACATCACACCTGAAAAGATTGAAAAGTTCTCTATACACCACAAAAATGGTCACTTTAGGCATATGACCCCCTATACACCGCAAAATTGGTCACTTTAAGACACGTGACCCCCTTAACATGAGTCTAACATGGAGGTAGAAATGTATAATTCATCCAAATATATAATTGACAATTTATAAAGAAAAAAAAAGACAACAATGAAAAAATGGAACCTATGAGTTAAATATATTACCTTTGAGCATGCTCCTAATGACCTTGTGAAAATTAACCCTGTGAGGAAAAAGAAAAATAAAAATGTAATGCCAACAAATCTAAAAATAAAATAAAATCATATAATAATGACTACTTCCTAAAAAAAAAAGGTGCTTATTGATCACCTCTATAAAATTTAAGCTTTAACTTTTAATTAAATATATAATTAATGTAAAAAATATTAACTTTTATAAATACAATCTATTACATATAAGAACCTGTTAGCGATGTGCATCCATTCTTTATCCATCACCTAAACTTCATTCGAGCATAAATTACCCTTGTACAAATAAATAAGAACAATATTACAACTTCTAATTGTTGAAAATATTCATGTTTCTTGCTATAGATAAAGCCATATTGGTCAAACAATCAACTTTCAAAATGAAAATTCTAATGCTAGTAAAGATATTTTCAAGTAACCATCACCATATGAAACTTTCTTATTTGTGTCTTCAATTAGATATTGACATGGAACTGCATTTAAATATAGAAGCATTTCAAGTTAGATAGAAAGAATTAAACAATTTTCAGATCTTAGAACTGGTTCGACTAGAATTACTTTACTTTCTAGATCTTCATTTAAATTGAAAAAAAAAAACACTACACATTTTCACTTTTTATTTCTACAGCTTAAATGTCCGTTTTATGATCAAATAAATTTTTTACCATGACTCTCTTGCTGTCATAGTTTAAACAATATCAAGATTAACCATAAAAAAAATATTTAAAAATCAATTATGCCAGCCAATCTTTTGTAGTTGAACATTATTTTTTATGTTTTTTTCTGGTGAGTAAAGTAACAAATGAGTATAATAGTGATACAAGGTTGCCAAAGGATTAAAACTAATAGACATACTATGTAACGCAGGAATATCACTGATGAATGCATTAACATCTATGAATGTAACTGGAGAATGGGGCATGGGAAATAAACAAAGTGCAAGAATCAAACAATTAAAGCAAAAGAGCTAGAAATAAAAAATTCAGAACTAATTTTCTATTTCCGCAACACAACTATCAGCATAGTTAGAAATAAAATCCCTGTTCTACAACTTAGAGCTTGGCCATGTAGAGTAGCAGAATGCCCATAACGAGTTTTCATTGGAAATTGCCTGAAAATTATTTTGTGATTAAGTAATTTATTTTCATTTTTTGTGATTAAGTAATTTATTTAGATTTTACTGTTAGTCTAATGTAGCTTAACTCCCTCTTAGCCCCATTCAGCCTATTTGATAAATTCAACCATCAGTCAAGTAGGTCACATCAATAGTAGTTCATGGTTTGCATGGCAGAAACTATGAGATTAATTAAAAGGTGATACATGCAACACAATTACATGGTCGAGTATCTCTTATTCATTATATATATATATATATATATATACTGGCTATTATGTGTTGGATTTCTCCCATAGATATTGTCAATAGAGTCAACTTATTAACAAAAATAAAATGAGACATCAAAGTTGTCCTTATGATTTCATTCTAACTTAATTTTTCAACTAAATTAAGTATATTATACAATTCCAGATGAACTAGGGAAAAGGATAAAATTACACTTCCCATTTTACAATGTCTAGAGATACGAGTATTCCATGTAAAAGCATTTGCCTGTTTGTTAAAGTGTCTGTAGCCCCTTTACAATATTGTTAAAGGGCAAACACTAGGCCCTTTAACAATATTGTTAAAAACTTGTGAACAAGAAGAAAGCAAATTCATCTCTATTGTAGTTTTGAGAGAGAGTGTGGCTCTTATGTCACATAAAAAGCTTGAGGAATGCTTTGATAACTTTGACCCGTGTCACCAATAAAATCTAGCTTAGATGATATAAGCTTCTCTTTCATTTCGAGAGATCAAGTGTTCGATGACTCTTAGTAGGGGCAAAAATATATGGTAAGTGTGTGCATTTGCATTAACTTTTAGAAAGAACATTTTTTTTTTTTTTTTTTTAACAAAAAACTGACTTGTGTCTCATTATCGGACCAACTGCTTTGATATCAGATATACCATTAGGATGAGGTTTGACAAATCACATTGAACATGAAGCTCAATGAAGGCCACAATCATGACTTTTTGCAAAATCAAACTAGAGTAATTTACATGAACTCTTAAAAAGCACATGGCATGTCCTTGTCAAACACACGACGCCTTGACATTAATGTGTGATATGTATCCAAAATGTATGGTTGGACAAACACCTAACAAGCATGTTAGATAATTCAAATTTATTATACAATCTTTTATTATCTTCATTTTCAGGCAAAAATTAAAAAGCTACATTAGAATAACAGTAGATTTTTTTGTGATTAAGTAATTTATTTTCATTCAACTTTTCCTGCATTAAGCAATATTTTTCTTTTGACTATTTACTAATTCGTGTCATCATATCTCTTTTAAAACTTGTGAAAATTATTTTGTGGTTAAGTTCTTTATTCACAAGGAAAAAAAATAATCCATATATATATAATTTATATGTTCACAAATTTTGATAAGACGAATTCCTAATTCCGGAGAATAGCCTCTTCATTCTTTTTGGAATTCTAACATTCCATTTCCAAGTGGCAAATCCTGTCTCACTCACATGAAGGAAGTAAAGGCTCATGATTGCCAACTATTTTTGCTCTTGTGATACACTCAATAAGAAGGTTTTCCAACACCATCCAAAATAAGTCGAATAAATAAAATAGTGAATCATAATGCCGGACTAGAATCAAGAGATGATTATATATAGCACAAACAATATATAGAGAGTACATAATACAAATAAAAAGAGAAACACAATCAATTAGGAAATGGAAAATAATAAAACCCAAATCCAACCAAAAAACAAACCAAATTCAGCCAGCACAATTTACAATAAAACCAGAGAAAAAAAATAAATAATAATAAATAAAAAAAACCATGCGTTAACCCTAAAAATGTTTGAGAAGTTGGGATTGAATAAAGCCCTAAAAATGTTTCAGAAAGAGAGACTGAAAAAAGCCCTAAAAATGTTAGAGAAAGAGAGATTGAAGAAACCCCTAAAATTTTTGAGAAAGAGAGATTGAAAAAAGCCCTAAAAATGTTAGAGAAAGAGGGATTGCAGATTACCTGAAGAATGAATGTGCGTTCAGATCCTTAGAGGGTAGAGAGAGGGTTGAAGATATAGCTCTGCCTTGGTCTGGGTCGGAATAGTTTGAGATGGTTTCTCTCTCAACTCTCGGACTTCAACCTCGCAGAAATAAAGGAAGAAAGAAATTGATTAGAGCCTTGGTCTGGGTCAAATTTGTCAACCAATAGGGAAATTTGAGTAGGAACCTTTGGGGTGAGTAGAAACGAGTGTAGACTACTCCGTCGAAGCTCAATTTCTCCGGTGGGCGTGGTGGGTTCAGAGGCTGTTGCTGTGAAAAAGAGATAAAGGCCTTTGGTAATGGGGACTGGTTGTGCTGGAGAACATTGGTTAATAAGACCATAAATGAAATTAGTACGATAGCCAAGGTTATCCGTTCGTTTGATATGAACAAGAAAGTCGGGATAGGCTTTTAATGGCGAGCTCATCCCAAGAACTTGGAAGTTCATGGAAATATTGGGGTAACCAGTATTTCATAGCATTTGGAGGAGGAAGACACCGAAAATATTTGCTAAATATCTTGACGTACTTTGAAAATTAGCAGAGGTCGCACAATTCTATTTTAAGAAATTATTTTTTCATTTACCTGTAAAGAAAGATAACTATAAATAAAGTTACATCATAAAATGAAGTCACCGTACATGTATGGAAAACAGAGTAATTTTGGTATGATGAATTTCTTGTCATGTAGCCAAATAGCAATATCTTTTGCTTTAAATTGAATGACATTCATGGGAGCTTCAGCGTCAATACCTTGAATGCCAATGGGATGTTTCATCTGTCGCCATTTTTCGGATAGAATAGCGTTATAGCGACAACAACTGGTTGTTGCGCCGGTGTCGATGAGAATGCATAAGCTATAAGGTTTGTAACCCTTAAAGTTAAGAATACCGTTTACGTAGGTATACTTGCACTTTTTCCCTTAAGAAGGTGCAATAAGGATTTCATCATTTCCGTGTTGGAAGTGGAAAAACTTTACAGACTTCATGGATTGAGTGGAGCCAGGAAGGAAAGGTGCATCAATGGGAGCTTTTCCTTTTTCGGCCCATGTAAACCTTCTACGAGGTAATTCAGAAGGATGAACATTAGATGTTCGTGGAGGAAATATCTTCTCCCATCCAGTGGAGTTGCTGTTTATGTGGGCTGAGGCTGAACGTTGCAGCTGTGGTGGTTTTTCTTTATTAGTTATATAAAGATTTCAACCGGAAGCTTGAATTGTGGTAACAGTAGGCTCTGAAATACGCAATTTTGGTTCGGAATTGATATTTTCGAATAACCAATTGCGAGGAATTTCAAGATCTGTTTAGTTGAGTAATTTTGGTTCAATTACTGAATCAAAAGGACGTGGTTCAAACAAAGTGACTAGTTTAGAGTCAAGTGTAGGAATGGTAGCTGTTTCAGGCTCACGGGTAAGTTTGTAGAGAACTTTCCACTGTATGCCGAGGCTTGGGGAGTTAAAATCCATTTTGAGGTTGGAAAGTTAGAGTTTGACTTGAAGAACTTTCTCAATGTTTGGATTAGTGAGAGAGACAAAATAATTTGGTGTGATTTTGAACCAAATTACGTTATTAACTAAATTGGATTGAACGCCACCGATGAGGGCGTCAATAGGTTTATGGAATCGATTATCCATAATGAGAGCAAGGATTGGTTGATCAGTTCCTTTGCGAAACAAAGATGTAATCTTGATCTGAACTCTACCAATATGAATATAACGAGCGAGAGGATTTTGCTGTCGCCATCGTGCAACCTTGTCATTATTGAGGATATTGAATCCACATCTTCCATTCGAGGTATAATCGATGGTAGTATCTCTGCTGAATTGTTCAAGAATTCGTTTGGAAAAGATAAAAAATTTAGAAGTTTTGTAGACTTCTTCTTTCTTCAGCTTTTGGAGTTTTGCGAACTGAATGAGTTGTTCGTTCGTAAACTAGACTTCTTCACCAATAACACTACTTAATTTAATGTTAGAGGTTTCGCCAGGTTGTGGAGAAGTAAACTGCATCATACAGATATCTTCATCGATGTCGTCACTAGCACTCGATTCTGAGAATTGACTGGAAATTTCATAAAGGATAATGTCAGAATCGGAGAGTTCGCTGCCATAAACAACACAGAGGTCTTCTGCGTTTAGTCGTTTGATCATTTTAGATGCACTTTTGCCTTTTTGTGGACAATTTGGTGCAATATGACCAGGTTCATTGGAAATGTAACATTTGCAATGTTGGTTTAACATACTTTTTGATTTTCTGAATCGGTTTTTTACCTTTCTTCCATTTTCGCTATTTTAACTTTTTGGGTTTTTTATAGGAACGACCTGAAGGGGTAGATCGGCTGGGTGCACAACCAACCTTCCAGAAATCCAGAAAGTATGTTAAACCAACATCTTCATCCAATACTAAACATAAAGGACAGAAGGGAACGAAAGATCCAGAGATCAAAAAAGATTATACTACTGGATAAAGTAGATTGTTTATCTACTTTATCTTTATCTAGTGGATCATCAGGAGGGTAGAGATCAGATAACTTTGCTTTTTTTAATTTTGCTAGATCTATAGTCATCTGATGAATCTGATCTTTTAGATCTTGAGTGTCCTGAGTTTCAGATATCAAGATAATCTGTGTAAAAGTCTGAAGCTTATCATTTAAGGAGATCATTCCTTGTTGCAAATCATCAAATGAGGTTTTCATTTGAGAATTTGTAGACTCAAGGTTAAGTTGAAATGAGTATTTCCAATCATTAACCATGTCTATTAAGAAGTTCATTCCTGCTCCAATTTGGTTAAAATTAGATGGTTCTTAAGTTAAAAAATGTGGAGTATGATTATAATTATTAGGGTCTTTTCCTACGATATTACAGATACATCCGACAGAGGTAGTTTGTGCCATAAGAAACAGTTAAGGGTTCTTAAGACCATTTGATTCCTGTTATGGTGCCTAAAACCGTATATTCCTGTGACAAATCTTTTAAACAGTCGTACAGACAAACAAGCTAAAACAGGGCAATATGGGCTTTAAACAGTAATCAAACATATGAGATTTATAACAGTAAATAAAGCACAATACTGACACTGTAATAGTATTGAAATATAATAAGGAAAGCTTACAATAATGGTCCAAGCACGAGGTAAGGCTCTGATACCAGTTATAGAAAAGTGCGGATTAAATACAAAATATAAAACTGAGAATGTTTTACAAGAAAGAGAGATAAGAATAAGCCAGAGAAAATATAAAACTTCAGATGCCGAAACCTTAGTGGAGTCTCGGTTTAAATAATATTACAAAAGGTAAACAGTATTTGAGAAGATAAGAAAGAATCTTTCTTTTTACTGTTCATTAAAGTGGATGTTGGCAACTTTCACTGTTGATGAATAGTTTGTCGGCAACTTTCGGCTACTTTCACTGTTAATGAATTGTAGAAATGACAACTCCTCTTGTCGTGTGCTGGATGAACTGCAGTCGATTAGAGAGAAGAGTGACAGATTATCCTTCCATTGCATTTATGAGATTATGGAGTTCATTTTCATCAAATGGAGGAGTGTTAACTGGAGATTAAGCATCGGCGATATCCCAATCGAGATTGATGTCATCGGCACCTATACGGATGACTTCTGGAACATCAATTGTATTAGCCACGATTTCTTTTAAGAATTCTTTGGCTGTCGAAACATTATTCTCGGAATAGTCTTCATAATACATATTCAGAGAAGTGACGAAAAGTCGTCGTCCATCACAACAATAACCGAGCTGGTCATAGTTGTTAAAGGTTCTGTTTAGGATTCTGCGAGCTTTGTCGTATAGGTGAAGAAGACTGTGCATTGCAAGTTCATATGGCTGGATGCCATTGGCAATTTCTTCGGAGTTGAGAAACTGTGTGTGCTCATATTCATCAGCTTTAGTAAGCTTAAGAAACCAGATCTGATATGGTTGGAAGACTCAAGTTTTTTCTCTCTATCCAATAGTACTTGAAATCCAGAAAGTGAGATTTCGACTGTACTGCCATTGAGCAGTGACTTTATAGATCATTGTTTTCATCATTGCCGAAAAATCTTTGTAAGAGTCACTGGATGAGAAAGTAATTTTGTTAATTACTCCCTAATCGACAGGTTCCATTGACCAGGGAAAACCGGGGATAATGAAAAGAGTCAGTTTTGGGACTTTTTTCCCATTGTAAATATCATCAAAGGTATTGATGTCTTCATGGTTTGCAAAATAAAAGTTTTTGATTGTTGTAGAATGATCCAATGCTTTGGAGAGGATTATTCGAAAAAGTTCAGGAGGAAAAATGTTTCTTGCTTTTTCAAGAAGACATATACGATTGATTTTTGCAAACGTATTTTGTGGAAAATCTAATTCTCCAACTAACTGGGCAAGCTTTAGAAAACAATTTATTTGTGATAAAGAAAAATATTTTTCCCAGTCGATTGTGAGACAGATTTGGATGCAAAGCTTTTTCAACTCATCAATCATAGCTATTTGTTCAGCTACAAGAGCAGTAAGAGTACTCAGGTGTTGCCTGAATTTCTTATTAGCACCGAGTTTATGACATTTCCAAACATTAATAATTTCATTATAAAAATTGTTTGGAAGTCCGGGATCATAGAAGTCTTTTACCTCTATTTGCTCCTGGAGTTGTGAAAACATTTTTTGTGAGGCTTTGCCCACGTTATAGAAACATTTTGAGCATCTATAAGTGTGTCATAAGCATGAGCCAGGAAATGATTGTAACTGTTTGTGACAGTCGTTCCATTCGGCATAAATTCCTGGTTGGTGACCAGCAAAAGCCACAAACCATTTGTTTGGCTGTGATGGAGTTGGTTTATCGATTGCCTTTTTAGCAATTGTGATCCAATCATCTTTGTCTGGACAAGGCTTTTTACCTTGATCACTCATTTGTAGGAAAAAAAATATCGTGGTGAGATACTTCATTATGATTTCTGCTTAAAAAATCTGCAAGAAAATTATTAGTACCTTTAATATGTTCAATAGAAAATGAATATTGAGCAATTACATTGTACCATTTTAATCTACGTCCATCTAAACAATTCTTTTTGTTTATAAGGAAATCTTTAACTGTTTGATTATCAGTTCGAATGATAAAGTCTTCTGGAGCAAGATAAATATGAAATCTTTTTATTGCTAATTTAATTGCCAGAAGTTCTTTTTTATAAATAATATAATTCTGTTCATTTGGTTTAAATTTTCCAGAATTATATCCACAAATCAATTCTTCTTTTTGAAGCTTTTTTGGAATTGGTGCTTTTCGGGCACGAATCTGGTGATTAGTGAAAATAGCTTCATCCTACTTATCCTGTGGAATAGCTTTTAACATACAACCCCAACAAAAGTCGGAGGCGTCTATTTCAAGAATAAGTTTATCATCGTTTTGGGGAAAATAAACTTCAGGGATTTGGACAAGTTCACATTTGATTTGTTGGACAATAGTGGTGTCGCTATCAGTCCAGTCAAACACTTTATCTTTTTATAGCTTCTTTATTAAAGGGAGTTCCTTTTGAGATAAATCTTTAATAAAGGTG